AAGGGGAGGAGGTGGAGGTGGTCAACAAGTACAAGTACCTCGGGCTGTGGGTGGACAATAAACTGGACTGGTCATGCAACACAGAGCACCTGTATAAAAAAGCCCAAAGCCGACTGTACTTCCTCAGGAGGCTGAGGTCTTTTAACATCTGCAGGAAGCTCCTGAGGATGTTTTACCAGTCGGTGGTTGCTGGAGTACTTTTCTATGCTGTGGTGTGCTGGGGGAGCAGCACAGCAAAGAGGGACTCATCCAGGCTGGAGAAACTGATCAGGAAGGCTAGCTCTGTGGTCGGCATGAAGCTGGACACTCTGGTGACAGTGGCAGAGAAAAGGACATTAAAGAAACTGCTGGACATTATGAACAATGCTGGGCATCCTCTGCACACGGCCATTAACAATCAGAAGAGTCTGTTCAGTGACAGGTTGCTTCTCCCCAAGACAAGAACTAACAGACTTAAAAACTCCTTTGTCCCACACGCCATCAGACTGTTTAACTCCTCTCTGGAGGGGAGAGGGAGGGGAAACAGGAGGACAAAGGAGGGAACAACTAAGCTGTAGTGCCTCTTCACCTCACTGTACAATACCTTGTGCAATACTTTTTGTAAATGGTCAACAGTGCAATAGACTCAATACTTGAAATGTGCAATTCACTTGTATTTTTATTTTTTTATTCCTATTTATTCTATTTATCCCCTTTGTATATTTTATTTATATTTGTTTCTGTATTTATATGTGTGTGTGTGTGTGTGTGTGTGTGTGTGTGTGTGTGTGTGTGTGTGTGTGTGTGTGTGTGTGTGTGTGTGTGTGTGTGTATATATATATATAACAATTCTGTAACTGTAACTTCGGTCATTGCTGTGCTTTTTTTGGGAATCGAATTTCCCAGAGGAACCCACCCGAGGGATTAATAAAGTTCTATCTTATCTTATCTTATCTTATCTTATCTTATCTTATCTTATCTTATCTTATTATGTTGGTCTTCTTAATCCAGCAGGAAACACTTGTGAAGACTGAACAAAAGATCTGATTAAAAACAATCAAAGGATTTTTATTTGTATTTGGGAAAATTCACAGTCACATATAAGTTCATTTTTTATGAGCTATGTATACTTTACTTCTAAGCACATGTTTGAGTCCTGATTCCAAATGTTTAGAACCACATTTGGGTCTTCAATAATTTAACAAAGCAAAAGCCTTGATGCATACAGAATAGAAAAGCACCCTTTACGTTGTAGTTTCCAATATTTCTGGTTTATCATTGCATTTCTGCACAGAGATTGTGTCACAGTACATTAGTCAGCAGGGCATTTATAGGCACAGACTTGTATCTTTTTTACAACTTCTCGAAGAAAAAAAAACCTTGTTATTAGCCGTGTTATTTGTTGAATCTGAAAAGTGTTAGAATACTGCTTGAATTTTTCTGTTTTTCTGTTTTTGCCAACAGCCGGTTGTGGTTTAGATTCTTGCCAGTAATAGATTAGTCAGAATCTGGCAGTAAAAAAATTGTGTTTGATTGTCTTTTAGACACATTTCAATTTTATAAATGTGATAAAGCAGCCGATTTCTGAATGCTTCCTCACAGAACAACTGTCCAGGCTGAACATGTCCTTACTCAGTGTGTGGCAAATGGTTTTATCCTTTTATCACAATATACAAGGAAACTTCTCGTATTATTCATATTTGTCAGACTATAATTAACAAGTTATTTTGTGTGCTGATTGCTCTAACGTTTACTGTTTACTTTTTACACCCTGTTAATTTGCCATGCTTGAAGTAGATTACAAATCAGAAAAATGAGCTGGTTTTGTCTATTACTGCTTAAACATTTTTATCATCACATACTGTGTATTTTAAACCAAAAAGTGATCAGGTTTTGTTGTTTTTTTGTTTTTGTTTTTTTTTGGGGGGGGGGATTCCTGACCAAGCATCAGACTGAGAGTTGGGAGCAAGAGTTTGTTGTTGTTGTTGTTGTTGTTGTTGTTGTTGTTGTTGTACAATTGTAATACTGCATCTTCCTTCAGGCCTGGATTTAATGGAGGGTGACATTATGATAGTAAGCAATCCTTGAAATAACGTCCTAGAGTCTAAGTTAAATAGTCTTTATCATAGCAGTAAGTCATGATCACAATCAACTCTTTAAAGTTTAACTTTTAAATACAACAAGCAACTGTGGATTATATTGATAATTAATTTCGTTAACTTCCATTTTTGAATATTGTGACTTCCAGGAGATGTAATATTCTGGAAGCCCTGGATGTAGAACACAAGCGCATAAAATCCACAGTGTCATCTTAGAGTAGAACAGACACTCAGCGTGATCAATAACACATTTGCAAAGAGATATGGATTATTAGGTGATCATTAGCTGCCTGGAACAGAAACCTCCAAACAAGTCGAACAGAGAATCACTGGATCTGTATCTGGAAGTTTGTAATGGAGGATATAAGTACATTGTAGTTGCTATGGATCATTTCACCCAACAAGTCAGCAACAACTGGAGCTGAAAAGATCTTTGTAGACTTTGTACTCAAGTATCATCATCAGGGAAATGAGTTGGCCATTATGGAACAATATCGCAGCATCCAAGCCTGACAGACAAAGCCTTGTTATACAACTGAAAACAGTCAAAGGTGAGAGATTTCATTGATCAGTCCTCTTTTCAAACATTTTTACAAATAAAAGAAAACAGAAGATTTGATGAAATAGATGACTGAGATCCATATCCACAGCCAACTCCCACAACAAAATATTTGTTTCACATCAGAGACAGAGGAAAGATAATATAGTACCTTAGGTCATCTATCGATTACACACAGAAAAAAAAAAGTTCTCCACTAAGAGTAAAAGACAAAAGTTCATAGTCAAATGTTCGGTTTATTATTGTTATCAACTGTTGTTCATGTTTTCCTGGTAAAAAATTAGGTGTGAAGTGGAATGTCTTTAAGTAATGCAAACACTCGGGATTTTTTAATGTCACAGACATCAGATACCAGGAAATGATGACGTGGGCTAAAGCAGGAACAAATCTAGATAGAATATGCGTGACTCCCTAATGTGTCAAGCACGTAGCTTTAGTTGTATAAAACTGGTTCTAACACTCCTGTCACAGGCACAACTTCTCATGCAGATGAGGAAGAGACAAGCGTGGGACAAGGTAAAGACAAGTTTCATATTTCTATAAGAACAAACATAAAGTTTGATATATATAAATCTTTAATATTTATATATTTTTTATTTTGTGATTGTTTTTCCTCATTCTTGGTAGAATCTCTGATTTAGGTTTCATCAAAGACGCACCATGAGGATGAAAGAATGTGTTTTTATTTTTGTGATCATGGCAATTTCTGAAGCATTCTCCTTAAACCCAGTAAGTGATTAGTTGCATAGTGATATTTCAGAAATTGTGAATATCAATATGCAAAGAGAACTTAAAGAGATTTTTTAAATTATTTGTCTGGTTTGTTTTGTGATGAAGATGTTTGACAATAATATTGAATATTAAATATCAGCTACTGACAATGATTTTGTTTTTTCAAAAAGAAAAGTTTTAATTTTGCATGTTGACCAACAAGTATGGAGTGTGTTTTCTATCAAAGCTTAAAATGTAAAAAAATAAAATAAAATAAAAAATAAAAAACATTTATTCATAGTACTACATAAAGTATGTTAAATGATGGAACATTTAGTTTAATACTACTTTGATACTTTTACAGAATGGACTAGAAATAGTGGGTAAGTTCTATTTTTTTTAATTTTCCACTTTTTTTTTGATGAAATTCATTTTTTTTTAAATATTAAAAAAAACAGTATACAAAAGTGCCTCATCTGTTTTTGTAGATGTTGGTGAAGTGAAGGACATTCCTGAAATAAACAAGGGTAAAGTTCAACATCTACTTATAACTAAAGCTTTTTATAAGGATATTTTTGTTCTTTTAGCTTCATGCAACTGTACTTGAATATTAGTGACTTGTTTCTAATTTTTTAAATTGTATTTTAGAATTTTTACATGATGATATTTTGGAGGTGAGTCTTTGTTATGAAGATAAAAAATCTATTTATTCTAAAAACATCTGTGTGCATAGTAACTTACTGCATTATGTCACAATATACATGTTTCTTATACTTTAGCCTATAGGCAAGCAGAGGAGTACCATTATTAATGAAAACATCCTGTGGACATCTCCAGTCCCCTACCTCTTAAATAATGACCTTGGTAAATATGTGTTTTCTTACAAATACACCTGAAATAAATCTTTATTTCTTTATTTCTATGGGAACACATCTTTGTGATGTCATACCGGAAAATGCATTTTTTTCCCCATGTCAGCTGGACTCTTTTGACACATAGAAGCCACATAATGAAAAAGAAAACAGCAGCATGTGCGAGTGCACAGAGCTAATTTAATGGAATAGTTTTGTACCATCCAGTTATGCAAAGTAACCACCCGCGCCTTTGCTAAAACCGGAAAAAATGTTTATAACTGTATGCTTTAGCACCTTAGAGCAAAATGCATGGGCAAGGCAAAGGACCTTTATTGGTTGTCTAAAATATCTTCTTTTTTTTTTAATCTCTATAACACAACAACGGTAGACATTAATTCTAAAGGAGTCATTCTGAGAGCCTTTGACCAGTTCAGATTGAAATCATGCATTGACTTCAAACCAAGGGACTCTGAGGACTATTACATTTCTGTCAAACAGTTAAATGGGTATGTTTTTTTCTGCTCTTTGTTGTTGTTGTTGTTGTTGTTGTTTTTAAAAATAAAATTTCCTACTTAGCTGCAATTAGCATAAATATTCTAAAAATGACTATGCTGATTTTTCAATTAGACTTTTTGTTCCTTTAGTTTAATTTGTGATATATACAGGGGTGCACATAAGTCCGCAGGTGCGCATACACTGTCAATATCAAAGACGCGCACCAGATAAGAAGGTGCAACGCACGTTTGCGTGCATAAGATTTTCTGGAGGAGGACAGACATTTGTTTAGAACTCTTAAAGATGTCGACGAAGCAAGCTCCTCTAAGCAATTACTTTGGTGTTCCTCCACCTCCAAAGAAATATCAGACAGAGTCCGAACCGCAAAAGAAGCGTGTATTCTCGGAAAAGTGGTGCCGGTAGATTCCACTCTAGCGGACAAAAACAGGGCCTTTTATATAATATAAAAGGACCTGTTTTTCATGGGATATTCTGCACCACATCTCTGTGCATTCATCATTTGTTTGAAGCCATCTCACCTTCTGCAACCACTTTTTCCACATTTTGTCACATTAAAGCCACAAACATGAATTAATTTTAATGGAATTCCACGTGACAGACCAATACAAAGTGGTGCACACGTGAGAAGTGGAACGAAAATCATACATGATTCCAAAAATTTTCTACAAATAAATAACTGAAAAGTGGGGTGTATGTAATTATTCAGCCTCCTGAGTCAATACTTTGTAGAACCACCTTTTGCTGCAATTACAGCTGCCAGTCTTTTAGGGTATGTCTCTACCAGCTTTGCACATCTACAGACTGAAATCTTTGCCCATTCTTCTTTGCAAAACAGCTCCAGCTCAGTCAGATTAGATGGACAGCATTTGTGAACAGCAGTTTTCAGATCTTGCCACAGATTCTCGATTGGATTTAGATCTGGACTTTGACTGGGCCATTCGAACACATGGATATGTTTTGTTTTGAACCATTCCATTGTTGCCCTGGCTTTATGTTTAGGGTCGTTGTCCTGCTGGAAGGTGAACCTCCGCCCCAGTCTCAAGTCTTTTGCAGACTCCAAGAGGTTTTCTTCCAAGATTGCGCTGTATTTGGCTCCATCCATCTTCCCATCAACTCTGACCAACTTCCCTGTCCCTGCTGAAGAGAAGCACCCCCAGAGCTTGATGCTGCTACCGCCATATTTGACAGTGGGGATGGTGTGTTCAGAGTGATGTGCAGTGTTAGTTTTCCGCCACACATAGCGTTTTGCATTTTGGCCAAAAAGTTCCATTTTGGTCTCATCTGACCAGAGCACCTTCTTCCACATGTTTGCTGTGTCCCCCACATGGCTTGTGGCAAACTGCAAACAGGACTTCTTATGGTTTTCTGTTAACAATGGCTTTCTTCTTGCCACTCTTCCATAAAGGCCAACTTTGTGCAGTGCACGACTAATAGTTGTCCTATGGACAGATTCCCCCACCTGAACTGTAGATGTCTGCAGCTCGTCCAGAGTCACCATGGGCCTCTTGGCTGCATTTCTGATCAGCGCTCTCCTTGTTCGGCCTGTGAGTTTAGGTGGACGGCCTTGTCTTGGTAGGTTTACAGTTGTGCCAGACTTCTTCCATTTCTGAATGATTGCTTGAACAGTGCTCCGTGGGATGTTCAAGGCTTGGGAAATCTTTTTGTAGTATTGACTCAGGGGGTATTCACTAATCCTAAGGACAGCACGGTGGCACGGTGGTTAGCACTGTTGCCGCACAGCAAGAAGGTCCTGAGTTCAATTCCACCATCAGGCCAGGGTCTTTCTGTGTGGAGTTTGCATGTTCTCCCCGTGTTTGCGTGGGTTCTCTCTGGGTACTCCGGCTTCCTCCCACCGTCCAAAGACATGCAACTTGTGGGGATAGGTTAATTGGATAATCCAAATTGCCACTAGGTGTGAATGTGCGAGTGAATGTGAGTGCAAATGATTGTATGTCCCTGTGTGTTGGCCCTGCGACAGACTGGCGACCTGTCCAGGGTGTACCCCGCCTCTCGCCCTATGATAGCTGGGATAGGCTCCAGCGCTCCCCGCGACCCTGAAAAGGATAAGCGGAAGCGAATGGATGGATGGATGACTCAGGGGGCTGAATAATTACGTACACCCCACTTTGCAGTTATTTATTTGTAAAAAATGTTTGGAATCATGTATAATTTTCGTTCCCCTTCTCACGTGTACACCACTTTGTGTTGGTCTTTCACGTGGAATTCCAATAAAATTGATTCATGTTTGTGGCTGTAATGTGACAAAATGTGGAAAATTTCAAGGGGGCCAAATACTTTTGCAAGCCACTGTATGTGCACCCCTGGATATATAGTTCTAACCGAAGAACAAGATGAATACTGTGAAATTTTTATGAATGGTTATGTTTTTGTTATTCTGTTATTCTGTTTTTGTTATTTATTTAATTGTGATTTTATAGATTACACTAAATAAATTACAGAATACATAACCAGTTATGGGACAAATATTCATCAGTGTTCTGCCTTTAATTTCAGATGTTGGTCATACATTGGGAAAGCATCCCGTGGACAGGAACTCTCCATTGGAATAGGCTGTGGTTACATTGCAATTGTTGAACATGAGTTCCTTCATGCTCTTGGCTTCTACCATGAACAGTCCAGATATGACAGAGATGATTATGTGACGATTAACTCTGAAAACATCCTAGAGGGTTTGGTTAACACTTATACTAATTATAACAATGTTAATGTCTTTGTTTGATATTTCTATTCAAATACTTATCTTAAAGCTGTATAAAGCAGTCTGCAAAAATATAATAACCACTCTGAAATGGTTAAAATAAAATCATAACTATTTAATAATTTGAGATAGAGTCATAAAATCAATGAAATCACTATAGTGAGTATACAAAATATTTCCTTTTATGATTTGACCTTCTCTCATATTATCAAAATATTTTCAGTTAAGTGTACTGTATCTGATGTTTGGCTTTTATATATGATTTTTATAGCTTACAAGCACAATTTTAGAATAGTCAGCAGTGATGAGAGCACCACCCATGGAGTCCCATATGACTATTTGTCCGTGATGCACTATGGCAAAGATGATTTCACCAATGGCAATGGATCTACAATTATCACCAAAGACCCCAAATTCCAGAATCTTATTGGTCAACGAGTGGAAATGAGCACTAGTGATGTTCAGGAGCTGAATCTACTCTACAAATGCAGTAAGTGCTCAAAGATTATGGGGACCAGCATCCAGTTTTAGGAATACTCTGGGATTACTGGTTAAAGTTACTAAGGACACCGTGAGAATATTGTGCCCTTAACCAATAGAAAGTAACCATTTTCTTTGTCACACTTACATTGGTAAATAGTTTTATATTGTTTTTAGAGTTACTACGCGCATTTAAACTTAGTAGGGCTCTTTACTAGGGGTTTTTACTTATATTCATGAGGCCATAAATTTATATATTATTGAATTCCAAAATATCTATTATGATCACTTTTTGAACTGGCACAATGATCAAGTCTATTTGTTGTAAGAAAAGTTCAACAAGTCACAATTATGATTTGAAAATAATTTAAACACAACCATGCTCATATTCGCACCTATGGTCAATTTATAATCAGCAAATAATCCCACTCTATTTGTTTAATTCATACAAAAATCAACATGCCAGGATTGCTATGTGTCAGGCTGCAATTTCAGCAATATCACGGGTACTCCAATAATCAACTTTCTGTTGCTCATTGTCAGTAATTAACTAAGCCTAAAGTGCTGAATGTGTGTAGAAAATTGCTCACACCGAAACAATTCACTCACTTGAGATGACTACAGTTTTGTGAGTTGAAATTTTTGCCTTTTCCCTCCAACCTTCCTTGAAAAAAAAAACCTTGCACTTTTAATTGATCTCTACAGGCTCATCCATTGCCTTTAAGATGTACTGTGGCTTTACTAATGGGACCATGTGTCAAATGAACCGCTGTTCAAAGAGTGGCAATGGCTGGGAAATGGTAACTGGTGTTTATGGTGGTCCCAGCTCTGACCACACCAATCTGCCCAGTGGAAATGGTAATCAAGGTAAGGTCTCAAATATTCCATTTTTTATTGCAGTTTTTATTACAGTTTGAAATGGAAAATCTAGTTTTCCAACTCAGCATTATTAACATCAAAAGTAAGCTGCCAGCAATAATAATAAATACTTTTGATACTTAAGATTTAATGATCTGATGTAAGATAATTTTGAACTGTATTGTAGGTCAGGATGCGGGTTACTTCATGTATGCTAGCACAGAATCAGGTCAGGAGGGAGACTCAGCCTGGCTGGAGACAAAGAGGATGAGTCCCCAGAGGGAGTGTCATGTTCAGTGTCTGCAGTTCTACTATTACCACAATGGGAGCCAGACAGACAAACTTAACATCTGGATCAGAGAGTTTCAAGATGAATGGGACTCCACAGGAACTCGCTACCTCATGGGACAGATCAGTGGTAATGAATCATTTGCGTGATTATTTATGATGATTTTCTCCAGATGAAGTATAAATGTTTCACATTTCACATTTTGTCATGAAGACATACGTCACATTCACCTATTAATCTAAAAATTCTCCCTCCAGGTCCACCGACATCTCACTGGACTCTCCACCATGTTCCTCTGAATGCCACCAAGCAGTTCCAGGTGGAGTTTGAGGTTCGTAAAGGAGCAGGAAACTCTACAGGTGGCTTCTCTATTGATGACATCAATCTATCAGAGCTCGAGTGTCCAGATGGAACTTGGCAGATTAATGATTTTGAGAGATTTTGGAACAGTACTCATACTCCGGCCCTGATATATAGCCCAAGGCAGTATTCCAGTGAGGGCTATGCTTACCGGGTAGCATTATATCTAAGGCAGACAGATTTTGGAGTATATGTGCATCTTGTCTCTGGTGTCTATGATGACCAACTGAAATGGCCTTGCCCAGAAAGGCAATTTACTGTCCAAATGGTGGATCAGAACCCCAACATCCAGCTACAGATGTCAAGGCAAATGAGTCTCACCACTGACCCAAATCTGCTCACCACCACTGGTACGTTTGCAGAAACATGAAGTAATGCTTAAAAATGTACTCACTAAATTATTAACCACTGTGTTACATATGCTTTCTATAAACAGGTGTACCTGCTTGGGGCAAACCTCGTGATGTTGGAACTCAAATTGTTGATGAGAACAATGAGCTCATCTATGCTAATAACCTGTATGGTAGATATTATTTTGCATCTTTGGAAGACATCAAATCCAGAGATTATCTCAAGGGAGGGAGTGCCATTTTCATCTTCAGTGCACAAGGCAAATTTAAATAATTTCATTCCTAAACTTATATATTGTACTTGAAACTTTTACAACAGAAATGTATGAAACATTTCAATCATTTTACACATCATCAAAACCAAGTTTTCTATGATTATTTTAATTTCTTTATTCCAATAGATCTCACACCTCTAGTTAATGGAAGTTCACTGCCTTGTCCTCAAGTAAGAACAGTAAAAATTACACATCCCCCTGGAGACCAGGATAAAGGAAACTGCTCATCACAGTAGGACATATTATTAAATTACAACTCATGTGAAGATACAACATGTCATATGAAACAATATATATGATGAGAGATACTGCAATTTTCTCATGCATTTTTGAGCACCTTGCAAGAATAAGTGTGGTTGCTAGATGTAAAAGTTAATGCAGGTGAAACTCTAACAAGTTTTAATACCCCTCTAAAAATGCTTTAACTTTTACAGGATCTCACCCACCTCAATTCCTACCTCATACACAACAGATGGCAGGTACTGCAATGTTCTCAAACATTTCCTGATTTTTAATAAATAGAAAGTGTTTCTTTCAAACAGAAACACTAAAACTAACGCTAAAAAGTTTTAACATACCTGTTAAGAAATGCATTGATGTTTACAGGATCTCAACCACCTCGATTCCTACCTCATACACAACAGATGGCAGGTACTGCAATGTTCTCAAACATTTCCTGATTTTTAATAAATAGAAAGTGTTTCTTTCAAACAGAAACACTAAAATTAACGCTAAAAAGTTTTAACATACCTGTTAAGAAATGCTTTGATGTTTACAGGATCTCACCCACCACAATTCCAATTCCAGACACAACAATCTTCTCAAACATGTTCTGTTTATAACAATGTGTGTGGACATGAAAAATGTAGATGTTATACCAATGATAGTGTTCATCACAAAAAGCTCTGTTTAAGAATAGTCATCATTTGTTGCAGTTTGAAGCCCACATAGATTTTGCAGAAACACAAAAGCAGTGATAGCAATTCAGAATTTCTGTACTTATCATGAGCTTATCTATACATGACTTATTTAATTATTTCCTGTCTTTCTGCAGTAGCACTTTCTCTCCTGGTATGATGGCCTCTCCTGTCCTCACCCTCCTGCTAGCACTGATGCTTTTTATGCCTTGATGTGATCTTGATCATCCACATCTGGACTCGTTACATGGACAGCACCAAGGACTCTGCCAGATTCATTTTAGATATTTTTTATTATTGTACTGCATTGATTCATTTTTCATTTATTATAGATTTTCCTAATATAGCGATTTGTTTTTTTGGTGGAGGAACTTTTCATTGTAGTTTTTGTTTTTAAAATAATCATTTGCAACAATATTTTCATTCGTTTGTTTGTTTGTTTGTTTTTCTCCACAATATAGAGACTAAAAAAACTAAATAAAGCAAGCAAAGAGTGAAATGAGAAGTATGTAAAATATCTATCTATATCTAAGTTTAAAACTCCATTTAACTAATATTAGTCTTTAATCATATGATAGTTTTGTTTACTGCAATTTTCAATCACAAGAAATCTACATGAGTTTGACGTTATTAAAATGTAGTGAACAAAAATATACTACAATGATTAGCCACAGTGTGCTTTCTTGGTTGTTGGTGTATTGATGTTTAAGAAAACATAAAATAAAACCTTTAAATCAAAAACATTCTTGGTCCTCTGTTTTTTGTGTGTGTGTTGCTTGAATGTAAAAAGAGATCACTTGGAAGAACTGAAAATAATTTACTAGAGATATTAATTAATTTGGCGTTTTAGAGTCCAATGATGGCAGAATGGAATCCCAGTGGCAATACGATTTAGGAAAGAATCCCCCAGGGTCTAGACAGTGGAGGTGGTGAAGAAGAAGATTGAGGCTTGGATGGACCTCAGGCAAGGTGACGATGGGGAGAAAGTGGTTTGCATAAATGAGGAGAGCACTCTGAGATTTAAATCACACAGAGTGGAGGTTGATTAGCTCAAATGGGGTCAAGAAGATGATTGGATTATTGTAATGTCAGTATTGAATTTGATGGTTGTAATGAGCTTTTTAAAAAGATATCATGCATACAACCATTGCACTAAGAACAAGTGTGGAAATTGTAGATAATTATTAACAGGAAGTTTCTCTACCTCATTAGAGTGAGCAAATTATGCACACCAGACCATAACAAGGTAGGGCTGATGTCACTTGGGATTTATAAAACATTATGTCTATCAAACACACGAAGGCACACAGCCACACCAAAATACATGTTGCAGTGAAGCATTCCCATATGTCTAGCAACATATTGGGAAAACATAACTGATCACATTCTCATTTTACTATTATCACCTCAACATGTCTTGAAGTTCTCCGGAAGCCTGGTAACGAACTAATCATTTGATTCAGGTGTGTTGAAACAGGGTGATATCTAAAACCTGCGGGACACCGGTCCTCGAGGCCTGGAGTTCACACCCCCGGACTAGATGGTTGGCACCTACAAGTGTAAAACATAGCTGTGGTACAACTTGACATTGCTACCCTGAATGCCTAAACCTTTTTCACAGCTCAGAACCCTAAACTCAAGAATGGTATCATCAATCCATGATGGGTCTTCCTTACTGAGCGCTCAAAGGAGCTTGCCACAGTAAATATTAGAAGTTGAATGGAAGTTTGCCTCAAACTCCAAACCCTGATCATTGAAGCAATTAGAAGGTACGTGTAGAAAAAAGCCACAACTCAACCGGCTGCTGAGAGAAGTAGTTTGTTCAGATAAAGCTGACTCCTCTTTCAATTCCAAAGTTTTACATATCATACACTGCTTCTGCATTTTCCTTGCTTTTTAAAGATTAAACCTTAGAATGGAAAGGTGGTTTACTTTCTTTTTCGCATAACTATAGGGGTGCAACATACTGTTACATGCAAGAATGTACAGTATGTTGTACATATGGGAAGACATAAGGAACTTCCTCAAACGCAACAATGTTTTTTGAAAAAGATATCATGCATATAACCACTGAGCTCACAATAAGTGTAGAAATTGTAGATAAGTTTTAACAGGAAGTTTCTCTGCCTCGTTAAAAATGAGTGAGTGCTAGGCTGATGTCACTTGGGAAGTATAAGGGATTAAGTCTATCAGACCCACAAAGGCACACAATTAAACCATGATATAGATTACACTATTCCCATATGGTCTGCTACATTTGAAAAGAAGTTTCTTTATAAAAAATTAATAATCACGTTTCTTGTTCAACCTACACCTGCCACATTTAGGATATCTTTGCTGATCATAATCACTTCCTAAAGAAGCTTGAACTATGAAATTATGTCATAATTCAAAATATGACATAGTTCATGTCACTGTCACAGTTACTTTTGCACTATTATGTTCCAGCACATTTTGTTATTACATGGCTTGATTAAGGTACACATCAGGCTGACATCTGGGCCAGCACAGGGTCAGCAGTGTGTCTACAACTGGCCCGTGGCTGAACACAACTTACACATGGCTCACATACCGCAAAGAATGATGGCCCTTTGGTGGCCCAGATCAGGTTTGCCAGAGGTAATCCACACATGGGCCAGCACAGGACCACCAGTGTCACCGCAACTAGCAGTAAGTTACGTGCAACTGGTGGGAAGGATAACATGATTTTTTATTATGTCCTCATAGATAAAACTTCAAGGAATAGATAACTCCTATTTTGGTTCCTGTTCTGTTGTTTAACATAATTAATTTAATAATTAACAACTTTAGCTATTTTCAGTTCTCCAGTCTGAAATGATAAGCTGCAGATGTATTTTAATGGTTCTATGGTCAAAGGAGCTTGCAAAGAAAAGCGTCTGGACTTCTTTAAGTTGCTTGAAGACGTTTCACCTCTCATCCGAGAAGCTTCTTCAGTTCTAAGGTCAAATGGTGGGGAGTCCCAGATTTAAACCTAGTGGGAGTATTCCCCCTGCGCCTGCGCCTTGGATCCACTGTCAGGGGATACAGAACAGACTTGATTCTACAGAGAGCACAAAATCACCTTTTAAGTGAAAGGATAAGACAGGTCCATTTCACTATAGATGCCCTCCAGATCAAGATCAGCCAGACTCTGCAGGAACTGGAAACCCTTCTACCCTCTCCAATCTTAGAAGAGGTTTACAAGTTTGTGGACAAGGCTCAGCGGGCCCAACATTCTAAAGGAAAAGAAAGACAACGCAGGAAATTTCACACCTTGCTTTCAAAAACACACACTCCTCATTCTGAACCTACACCTACACAGCCCAGAGAAGAAAACACACCTGAAGTCAGTCAGGAGAAATGGGTAAAGAACTTTTCAGACCGGAATCTCACTGAAACTGAAAAGAGAGTAATAGCCAAAGGACTCAATTTTGCCATTTCTCCACAACAGTTGCCCATAGTGGACCTCATCACAGCCACAGAATCCGCCATACGGATTAATAAATTATCACAGACAGAAGCAGAGCAAATCAGGATGAAAGTCTCAGCCACCCTCTCCAGTGCCAAAGTCCTTCCGTCCAACCTCACAATACAAGAAAAGAAGGCCATCGCTTCCCTGAGCAAAGACCACAACATCACTGTTTTACCAGCTGATAAGGGAAGATGCACCGTGGTCCTAAATAGGGATGGGTATCGTTTAGGTTTTATCCGATACCGGTGCCAAACCGGTACTTTTGAAACGGTGCCGGTGCTCAAACAGTGCTCAAACCGGTGCTTAAAGAATGGAGAACACAAAATTGGTCCAAAAACCTCTCATGTTCAGCTGGTTTTTGTAAAAAGATAACAATGTTAGCCTTTTCTGCAGCTATGGGGTATATATGGCATCACTCTTGGCTGGAAGCAGTGCTTAAACAATGGAAAAAACACAAACTTTATCCAAAAACCTCTCATGTTTAGCCGTTTCCCTCTTTTTCTTTGGTCATTTTAGCCTTTTTGGCCAGGGTGAAGGGAGTATCTGCCATCAAACAAGAAGACAGCTGCATGTAGCTATGATGATGTTTGCTAGTTCACCTTACCTGCAT